TTCTTCTGGTTAAATTCATATCATTTGGATATAATCCTCCTGTGTCTTTGTTTGCTTGATGTAGTGCCATAGTTTATCTTTTTTTGCGTGTATCTGCTTTCATCGTCCTTAGGTTTGGTATGAACAGAGACTATGAACATATAAAGCTATATGCTATAAGACAGACTTTGGTTTAATCACTTTCGTTGCAGTTATTATGTTAGATACCAACCGTACAAGATTCCCATTGATACAAACATTAGTGTCATATAAGAGATCGACTGAAACAGCAAGAGGCTGTTTTTGATAATGAACAAAAATTTACAATTTTCTTTAATTTTTTGCTAGCTGTGAATATGAAGTACGTTGTGGTTTATCGTATTATTATTCAAATCGAACAGGGTAAGTTCGTCAGATAAAAATTGAACTTGCTTATCGGAAGTTGAGGTGTGTTTATCAAATTTGCTTGGTCACTATATATCATATATTACCATTGTATCGCATTTGTGGTGTTTGCTTTGGATGATGTTGTAGGATGTGTGCTTTTTTTTTTCATAGGTACTACTAGTTTGTTTTTTGATCGAACATGTGTGTAAATCACCAATGCACGGTTCAAAGCACCAGTATATACTAACCAAAGTGTTTTTATTTTTCATATGTTTCTCCAGCCATTCTACATGTTCATCGACAAGGAACAGCGGGGCCCATTTTCCTTCTCGGGATGCCCATAATGAACTCGACAGACTTCCCTACACGTGGCTGGCCACAAAGGCCACTTACTCGTCGTTAAAGTCCCCATCCTTATCCTAGTATCCCTCAAACTCCACTAAAAAGTTCCTCACACCATCATATCTGGCTTTCAGCTACTCAACTGATAGATTGATCTCCCAAAGCGCATTGATATGCAAGTTGTTGTACATCGAGCAAATCATCAAATCAAGGAATTGGCCACTTGGGAATAAGACTGAAAAAACTAATGTATATATTCTAAAACGTACAAGGGGGATTACATAATTTCTTGACAATGTGGAGTAATTCTTGTATAGGTTTCAGTTTGATATTTATTTATTGATGAATTATTTGTGCACATGTGAATGAATTATTGAATGGAGATTTGAATTTATTTTTTATATGAAATATTTGTGCACATGTGAACAAATTGTTATGGAGATATGAATGGCGAATGTAAAATTGTGGAAATAATAGATGAAATGCATGTACATGAGACGGTGTTATATGTAATTTTTAGAACATGATTTCAAAA